ACACACACACACACACACCATGTCAGTCGCTCACCGTTTCCCACACGAGGAGCAGCAGTCAGGAGTCAGTTGCTTTTCTCGACAGAGGAATCAAACATTTTGACTCCAGACAAACTTCCTGACGTTTCTTTCTTGTGTTCGAGGAACATTTCGTTATCAACATTTTCCAGTTTGTGAATTTGGAAGTTGAAATAAAAACCCGACAGGATCATCAAACTGTGTGAACAGGTAAGAAACCTCTGGTTCGGTTCTCCGGCCTCCGACCTGCTCTGGTTCTGCTGCTGTGGATGTTGTCGAACGTTCTCCTGAATGAAACGTAAAAGTTTTAAGAAGCTTGTGAAACTTTTCTTTGTTCTGAGCCTCAAGTTGTTTCCAGGACTTGATCCATTAACTTTCCTGCTGTTCAGTCAGTTTATTGAAGCAGTTTAACTTCAGCATGGACCTGATGTCTGTGGAGCTGCAGCGGAGATTAAACGACAAATCAACTGATTTAGATACTGAATAAAATAAATACGAGTTTTTAAAGTAGTTTAGATGCTGAAGCAACGAGGAAGCAGCTGTTTCCTTTTGTGTAGTTTGACTTTTGGAAGGATGCACTTTATTCTTTTTAAGAAAAAGTTAATTGATCCATTTGAAAAAGCAGATTCTTGAATTTATTGATTGTTTTATTTATTAAAACAAAATGAATCCCACCGTTTTCTTCTGTACATTTAAAACTAAAACTAGCATCGAATCTTCAAATCGCTTTATCTTTCGTCTGAGTTTACGCACACGTCAAGTTCCACATGTTGTAACAGACGTGTGAACAACCAAAGAAGAAGAAGAAGGAGAAGAAGAGGCCTCGACACCTCCAGCTTCTTCCTCCTGATGATTTCCCTCCGTCTCTGTCAGGATTTGAACAAGTCTGAGGTTTGACGTAATGTGTTCACTCAGAGAAATGTTCCAAACAAAGTAAAAAACAAGAGAAAACGTATTTTCACGTTGCGGCTGATGTCCGAGCGCCGCGAGGCTCCAGTTGTTTCAAAGTCCGGCGGCAGAGAAACAAGACCAACGTTTGGAGTCAGAAGCTGCGACTTTGAAAAAAGAAAAAGCGACTGTATCAAGTCTTTGTATCGCAGCCGCGGGTCTGGGTCGTCTTTGAAGCCGCTTAATTTGAATACTCCAGGGGGAGAAGGAGCACGAGAGTATTTGATCTGGAAGGTGGAACACGCTGCGCTGATGGGCAGGAGAGGAGGAGTTGAAGGTTATTAGATCGAATGGGTGCGGATGAGGCCGAGCTGTCGCAGGAGGTTTCAACGCGGCCGCTCTGAAGCCCTTGATGTCGGCGGTGATGAGGGCGAGATGCGATTGGAGCTGAAGCTCCAGTCGACTTGCTTCAGATAGATTTCAGGCAATTAGAACCCTGCTGGATGTGTGGAGTCTGTGATTGACAGCTCACGTCTTCAGTCTACGTGACCGGGCTGCGAAAAAAACACGTGTGTGTGTGTGTTTTATCAAAGTTTGAATCACAAAGACCAAATGAACGAGTGTTCATCTCACACACAGGAAGTGGATTCTGCTGCAGGAGCGTCTCCATAGAACTCCAGAGATTTTCTCCAACTGAATGTAAAACGTGTTATTGTAAAATAACTGTTAATACAAATATTTATAAGATTATTGTTCATATTTAATTATTTATTTGCGATCAAGTAAATTAAGAAAAAGAAAAATGAGTAATTTCTTTGTTGTGAAAAAATATACAGTCGTTCGCACACACACACACACACACACACACACACACACACACACACACACACACACACACACACACACACACACAC